TTCCACTCTCAAAAATGTGGAGGCGGCCATTAATCCCGTCCTATCCGGTGAATGGCACAAATCAAATTATTAGGTGGTCTGCCAGTCCATCTAATACTCTAGAAATTATCAGGTGACTCTTATTTTAGATATATTTGGAATACCTCATGGGATGGTATACTGTACGACCATTTATTTTTAGTTTAAAGATGTTTTATACATCCTATTTATAATCTCACAGTTTACGTATGCCACAAAGTTCAAAAAAATTGAAAAGATCGGTAGATTAAGCTAAAAAATTGAAAAGATCGGTAGATTAAGCTACGTCAATGACTCGCCTCCAACGACCCAATTTGATGACGAATAATTATGATCTTTTTTTCTTTTAACAGTAAATTATCAGGATTCCACATTTCAACTCGTAAATATTTTTCAAAGAAATATTTTTTAGTTCTTAGAAGCCTATATATAATGATACGTTACATTTGTGATCTAATATTTGAGGGAGAAGTATTTTAGAGAGAATTAATTAGGAATATTTTTTTTAGGAAAATGTTTTGATAGGACTACTGTCTTATCAAAATAAATAATGCCTCACCTCAAAATGCACTAAAAATTATAATTTTGGCATAAAAAAACTTTCAAATTTATCATCTTGGCCTTGATGGGTGTAAACAAATTAGGATTTCAAGTTCTAAAATAGTGTATATTGTAACATATTATCCAGACCGTCTATTTCACCCTAAAAGTAGGTGCAGTAGATCTGTGTCATTTTCAAGGCTTCAAATTCCGTAATTGACATTAGAAATTGATTTTAAAACCATCGTGGAGATTTCCATTGCTCAAAGTACTTTTTGAATAATGATATGAGGTAAGGCTTTACTTTGTTTTCATAAAGCCCCTGGTAGAAACTACATCGTTTTTTTTCCTTTGGGAAGCATTCTTTTTTTTTTGGTGTGGTTTATATAAGGTTGAAGCTTAAATAATCAAAGTAAGGCGCACTTTCAAATAGTATTAAAAGATATTTTGATACTGAAAATCTTTGTGATGACAAAATTTTATTTTTATCTCTAATTATAAAGTTTAAAACTTAAAAAATAGTGTATATTTAGCATATCTATAAATTCTTGAAAATCTTGTAAATTAACGTTACACAAAATTTGTTACAAAATACACTATTTTCAATACTTAAAAATCATTTTTTTCTCATATCTATCTATACATGGTGGAGATGATGAGTTTGTCTATTTTTGGGTCTTGAAACAACCGCTTCTAATGAATTTTTAAGATACCCTTAACTTGATGGTTTAGAGCCTCAACCGTATATAGATTTTTTCTTTTTTTGTATCTTCAAATATTTTCCATATAGAATTGACCTTCTGGCGTGATGATGTTAAAATCTAGGGACAAGTAAAAATCCCACCATGTTTTTCTTGGGCGGCCCACCATATGATGGTGGTGGACCGCACAAACCACTAAATCTTTTTCCTAGACAGGAAGATAGAAAAGGGGGAAATCATAGCATACATCATATGAGGGTGGGCCCACAAGAGAGTCTTGTTTGTTGAATGGGGTTGTTTAATGAGAGGCACTCTGGGCCATGCGGTTCGCAACTTTGACCCATGAGAGAGAGAGAGAGAGAGATAGAGAAAGAAGAGAGAAGAAAGTTTGGATTTGAATTGCGAAGAGAGAGAAGAAAGAGTAGGAGAAAAGTGAAGGGTATGTATGTATGTATGTATGTATGGATGGATTAGTTGGGAAGGTAAGAATAAGGTCGAGAGTCACGCAAATGCTGG